ATTAAAGTTCTGAAGTCTATAATATCATTGTTCTATTACTAAGTTTGAGGAAGGCAAAGAGTGAAGATGACATAAAGAGTCTGCAGGATATGGATAAGGTAAGCAAGTGGGCAAAAGCTTGGCAGATGGAATGTAATGTGGTAAAATGTGAGGTGATACAATTTGGTAGGACGTACAGAACAAAACATTATTTCAATGGAGTAAGACTGCATAAAGCTATGGCACAGAGGGATTTGAGAGTCCTTGTGCATAAATCACAAAAGGCTAGTATACAAATTCAGTGAGGAATAGGGAAGGAAAATGGAAGGTTGGCCTTTATTTCAAAGAGAATGAAGTATAAAAATAGGAGATCTTGCTAAAACTATACAAGGCACTAGTCAGACCTGAGAGAGTCCTGAAGAAGGGTAATACCTGAAACATTGACTGCTCCTTTCCTCCAGATGCGGCTTGGCTTGCTATGTTCTTCAGCCTCGTCTTTGTCTAACTAGTCAGACTATACTTGGGATACTGTGAAAAATTTTGGGCCCCTTATCTGAGGAAAAGTATACCGGCATTGGAGGCAGTCCAAAAAAGGTTCACTAGCCTGATCCTGGGTATGGAGGGTTTCCTCTTACGAGGAGTTGTTGAGTAGGTCGAGCCTATACTGATTGGAATTTAGAAGAATAAGAGACAACCTCATTAAAACATACAAATGGCATCAGTTACAGTTTTGATACATATTTGGTAGACAATTGGGAAATCCCACAAAGTGACCCCTTGGAAAGAGCCGGTCACATAAAATTTCAATGCAGCTGTCACCTTGAAAGTCACCAAAATAGAATGGCCACCCACTCCTTCAGATCACTGATCCCAATCCAGCAGCTGACATTGTTCAGTGATCACAGCCTGCGCCAACACCATAACTTACTCATCTGGAAAAAATGGTATCAGGAACTCCAGAACCTTGCCCTCCTGTGCATCTGGAGGGCCCCTTCAGCTTCATGCTCTTCACATGAAGGTTCTTCAACATCTTCTGGACATTGGACATTGCTGTTGGTCCTGTGCTTGTTGTCATATCTGTTCCTCCAGTTCTCTGCACCGTTGTTGCATAGCAGCAACAGTGACGATCACCTCTGCTATGGCTGCATCCATCAGTCATGTTTGTAATGAATCCAGGTGAGAAGCAGAAGAAACAGAACAGGTTCTTATCAATCTGAGCAGTCAGCATTCACATAACATACTGATTAACATGCTGCTCCATACAGTGGGACATGGGGCATTCAGACAAGAACAGCCATGGAATGACCTGTCTTGGCACACTGGAATAAGGTCCAATGTCAATGAATGCACAACCAGTCATTTGGCAAAGAGATGGTCGGAGAGTGCAAGTGCTACGTCGGTATTGAACTCTGCCCCTCCCAGCCCACATCATTCACCAACAACATCATGGTATAGAACCGAGTCTTTCATTATACTTCCAGTTCAGGTTGAGAGGGAATCAGTTCTGTGCCCCAATGCACCCTAAGAGGTCATCTTCAACTAGCAGGGGCCAATGACGTCATCAACATTGACTGTGACCAGCTTGCACTCCACAGAATTGGACACTGCACGGCAGTTCATGGAGATATGATTGCAATTGATTTCGATCAACACTCTGCAAGTGCATAATTGATGCTATTGCATCTTGAGAAGCCTCCACCAACACCCAGCTAGTGTTGGTGCCCACCTACTTAGCCACTCCTGCCCCCAACCCCCACGGCATACCATGTCCTCCCATGCACTACTGCACCCTGCACCCCCCATTATAATCAAATACTCCCATATCCTTTAGGCTGCTGTCTCCAATCCCCAATGCCAATTCCCCTCACATTTCCAGCACAGCAGTGTCCCCAAATACCCACCCATGATATTCATTCCACTGACCTTTCAGGACTGACAGTGCCTCCATCTTCTAACCGATTTGGAGAGATAGTCTGACTGACAACTGACCAGATCCCTGACTGAACCTTACGTACTGCCCTGACCAATGATCCACTAACTGAGTGCACAGGGACTTTCAGGACTGACCGTGGACAGCTCTACAAAACGACATCAAGATGATTCCCCTGACCCAGACCACCCTAACTGACATCTGACCAGTGACACGCTCCTGGGCTTATCATGACATTGCCCTGGATGAACTGCACCAGGACACCCCAGAATGACAATAGGCCGGATTTAATATGACTGATATGCCTTTTGGTTGATGCCATGTGTTAGCTGTGGAGGCTGCTGGTACATGCTGTAGGCGTGAGATCGACAGAACACGTGCCTTGCAGTAACATGTCCACTCCCTTGAAGACTGACTGCTGACATGCATAACAACCTGCCTGGTTTTCTGTCTGCACCAAACAGTAAGGAAAGACAAAAAGTACTACGGGCTTTTAAAGTTCAGCTGAGAGGACAAAGCAGTAAAAGGCAATTCATGGCAAAGCAGGAAAGGTGAGCATCCAGGCAGATGATAAGTGAGTGAGTGCTGAGAAAGCAAGTAAACAACGCAGATTCAGCCAGGTCCAATCGTGAGCTGGGTGCCTGTCCCTCCATGCTAAGTGCATAGTTTTAGCAAGACCTCCTTGCAGCAGCATTCCAGTGATAGTTGTCAGTTCACCATTAATGTAGTATGACAATGCAGAAGCACGCAGTAAATGGATCGGAGATGTGCCCTGATGGTGCAAAAATGCTGGCTAAACATTGGATATCAGCATCCATGGATGTGGAATGTGTGAACCCAGAGTGCTCCAAGAAATGTTGGCATTGGGTGTCCAAGATAGGTCCAGAGGAGCGAGCAGTGTTGAGATACCTGCTCTGACTTTCTTGTCAGGAATTCTCAGCATCTAGTTTGAAGTGGGATGCATTATTTCAGACTGCCTTCATTAAACTAGATCATGCTTAATAAATATCAAAATCTCTGTCTAAAATATTAAGCTGCACTCATTACGACAAATTGATTATCCAGAAAGAAAAGGTGTGTAAAACTGTAATGTAAAATGTCAAAATGCCACATTTTACTTTTTATTAACTATCAAGAATTTATCTTTACAGGCAATATTTTCAATGCAATGTCTGAGAGATGAACATGTGAACGCAGGTAGAAAATAATCAATTGTACTAAATGTTTTCTGGAAGTACACCAGCTGAAAAATCAAATAACTGCCACAATTCTTAGCATACCAGTCACACCCACACAGAGTAAAATGGAATCAAGGCACTATTTTAAAGTTTCAAGTAATGAATACACGCACACAGAGTTAGCATCTGCATCATGTCAAAATTGTTGCCGCCAGTTAAGCCAAATTATAAAAAGGTTTCATCCAAAGATAGTAAGTTATCAATGCAATGGCATTCCTTGACGTAACATGAAACCAGTTGTGCCACCAAAATGTCTCATGCAGCAAGTTCTTAATTTCAAATAAACAAGACTGCTTCGCATTTCCAAACAGCCAATTAATTCAGTGATGCAAGAACACGCAAACATAAAATTCAATCGAACTTACAACAAAGAATCAGGCCATTAGGCTGGTGTTTCTGCTCCATCTGAATCTCCTTCTATCATACTTCCATCTGACCGTTTTAGCGTACATTTCCATTCTTTCACAAATCACCTCAACTACTCCATGTAGCAGTAGAGTCCACATTCCAATCACTATCTGGGTAATTGTTTCTCACTCGATTTATACCTAAGTAACGGTTCCTTATGCTCCCCTGATCAAAGCGAATAATTACATATTTCTCTAACATGTGATATCCTCACCAGGGATTATGTCAATACATTTATAACATGCTTTCCAGAACATTTCCAGATCATATCCTTCGTTCATTCATGGGATGTGGGTGTTATTGGCTAGGTCAGCACTTATAGCCCATGCCAAACTGCCCACAGGGCAGTTAATAATCATCTATCATAAACATTCCAATTCACCAATTCAACCTGTAGAACTTCTTATGTATCAGTATGGTATACCACTGAATTGCTAATTAAAACAAAAAAGTAATGAAAGGTTAAACTTTGTTCTGACTTAATAGCTTCATTTTTTAGTCCTGTGCAAAGCTAAAATCTAAACTAAAAATCTCTTCTCAAATCAAGTTTGGTGTATACATTATGAATTACAGATTTCACACAGAAAAGGTAGTACAAAGAGAAATTCTTTCACACCTCATTTTGACGCTGGGCATTGTGTAGCCACATGCCATGCATTGGATAAGTTGTATTTTAGAGGTCTGTCCTGAAACAAATAACTTAACAGAAGGAAAAGTAAAACAGAAAAAAAAGGAACTGATACATTTGATAGTGGTTGGGAAATATATTAATATAAAACTGACAAAACTAGTTCTTTTCATTCATCATGTTCACACATTTTTACAATACAGCATGAACAGGATACGTAATGCAGCATACTATTTTTAACATTTATTTCACATAGTTTAAGTGGGAATACCACCATCTGCAAGTTCCCCTCCCGCTTACATACTGTCCAGACCTTCGCAATCACTGGGTCAAAATTCTTGTCTAAGAGAACAGTGGAAGTACCTACACAAATGGACTTTGACTGTTCAATCAAGTGGCTCATCACATCACAAGAATAAGTGAAACAAAATCACTTGGGTACGACACCATGTTTGATTTAACAACATGATATTTCTATTCAAGTGGAGTCGTCTAAAATTTTTCTCATTTGATGCATGAACCGATGATATCTTCAAGACCTTCAATTGCCATTGGTGAAACAAGATTAAAAAGTTCTCCGAGTTTCAACATACTGGAATTTTAGATTTTGAAACAATTCAGATTTCATAATACTTGACATAATGCAAACATCAGTACTTAGATTTCAGTCGATATTACAAGCATATTCTTTTCTTCAGGAGTAAAGCCCATTATGTCTTGAAAGGGACATCCAAAGTAAAAAGTACAAACAATACATAAATGACAAATAGTTCAACAAAACATACAGCTGTGCTGTTAAAAGGTAAAATAAAAGTACCTGCAGGAAGCAAACACTCCAGGGGAACCAACGTATCGTTTGTAGCTGCCATCACTGTAGGCTTTGAAGTTTAGCTTTAGAGACTCTGCAGCAAAAACATAATGAATAATAATCACAATTATATGAAATAATCTCCAAAAAGCTCAATTTTAAGCAGTAGTAATTAGCCAACCTCAACTTCTGCCAAGTTGGTGACTGATAGTTTAATGCTTTTCATTAAAAATGACCATATATTAGTCAGTTTTCATGAAATTTAAGATTAAGTCACTTTGCTATAATTTTAACTTGATTAAGCAAGTGAAAATTTGCATTCTATTCTGTTTGACTGTGGACAGGGTCAAAAATTACACGACACCAGATTAATGTCCAACTGGTTTATTTGAAAACACAAGCTTTCGGAGCCTCAGTCCTTCTTCAGGTGTTAGTGAGAGAGCAAGTATCAGGCACAGAATTTATAACTAAACAATTCAAGTGTTGCACTGTTGATGAGGATAAACTAAACAAACCTAAGATGCTGTTAAATCTTTAATCAGTTAGAAGATTTTATTAATTAATATGCATATGCAAATCCCCAAATTCTTTTCAAGTCCCTGTCCTGTGAGAACTAAAGGTTTTATCTGTATAAAGAAGAGGTGACATTTTAGGTAAGACAATGAATGTTGGGTGTGAGGCCTTGTTTAGAATCTGATTGTGTTTTGGTTTGGAGTCAGACCGGTTTTATTTCGAAAGTAGGAATTTATAAAACACCAGATTGACTGACTGTCTATAAAGTGTGTGCTCTTTGAACTGAATAGAATATATCTGCAAATACAAATTTACCCCACAGATTCATGTGTGTGTGTGTTCGCATGTGTCCTTGTACACGCCAGTCCAACACCGGCACCTCCACATCATGTTTGACTGTGGTTCGGTACTAACGGTTTCTGTAAGAAATAAGCTATTTGGCGCAGGTCAAAAGTCAATTTTATGGTTTTACTGCTTCATGGCTCAGGCTACTGTAAACTTCAGCTGTCATGGTTGGAATGATTTAAGGTGAAAGTCTCAGGCACAACCAAGTTTTAAATTTAACCTGGAAACCGATATCCATTTCAGGCCCACCGACTTCCACAGCTACCTAGAATACACCTCCTCTCACCCACCTTCCTGCAAAAATGCCATCCCCTATTCCCAACTCCTTCACCTCTGCCGCATCTGCTCCCGAGATGAGGCATTCCATTCCTGGACATCCCAGATGTCCTCGTTTTTCAAGGACCGCAACTTCTCCTCCACAGTGCTCGAAAACGCCCTCGGCCATGTCTCTCGCATTTCCCGCAACTCACCCCTCACACCCCCTTCCCGCAATAATAACCAAAACAGAATCCCCCTCGTCCTCACGTACCATCCCACCAACCTCCGGATCCAACGCATCATCCTCCGGCACTTCCGCCATCTGCAATCGGACCCCACTACCGAAGACATTTTTCCCTCCCCACCCTTATCTGCCTTCCGGAGGGATCACTCTCTCCGGGACTCCCTTGTCCGCTCCACACTCCCCACCAGCCCCACCACCCCCGGCACTTTTCCCTGCAACTGCAGGAAGTGCTACACCTGCCCCTACACCTCCCCCCCTCATCCCCATCCCAGGCCCCAAGAAGACCTTCCACATCAAACAGATGTTCACCTGCACATCTGCTAATGTAGGATACTGTATCCGCTGTTCCCAATGTGGCCTCCTCTACATCGGGGAAACCAAGTGGAGGCTTGGAGACCACTTTGTGGAACACCTACACTCGGTTCGTGACAACGACTGCACCTCCCAGTCGTGAGCCATTTCAATTCCCCCTCCCACTCCTTGGACGACATGTGCATCCTGGGCCTCCTCCAGTGCCACAACGATGCCAGCCGAAGGTTGCAGGAACAGCATCTCATATTTCGCTTGGGAACCCTAAGGCCCGATGGTATCAATGTGGACTTCACAAGCTTCAAAATCTCCCCTCCCCCGACCGCATCCCAAAACCAGCCCAGCTCATCCCCGCCTCCCCAACCTGTCCTTCCTCCCACCTATCCACTCCTCCCACCTCAAGCCCCACGCCCACCTCCTACCTACCAGCCTCATTCCGCCTTCTTGACCTGTCCATCCTCCCTAGACTGATCTACCCCCACCCTAACTTCCCACCTACACTCACCTTTACTGGCTCCATCCCCGCCTCTTTGACCTGTCTGTCTCCTCTCCACCTATCTGCTCGTTTATCCATCTTCCATCCGCCTCCCCCTCCCTCCCCCTCTCTCTCTATTTATTTTAGAATCCCCTTCCCCTCCCCCACATCTGAAGAAGGGTCCAGACCCAAAACGTCAGCTTTCCTGCTCCTCTGATGCTGCGTGGCCTGCTGTGTTCATCCAGCTCTACACCTTGTTATCTCAAGCTTTAAAATAGTTCAGGATTTTAACTTAATGTATGCGACAGGCTTATGTAATCATTTATATGGTTACGTTGTGCTTTAATTTGTTTGATGTATCAGCAGTTATTATTCTGTAGTTAAAGGATATCAATTCATTTTGAAGCATTCTCAGATACATCATTTGGGATGTCTGGGATGATACTTAATCATTGGAAGGTAATACTATTTGCTCTAAATAGTAATTGCTTGAATGGGTGCCATCTTATCTTGGCAGATATCTGTGGAAGGAGTAAGGCAAGGCGGACAAGCTGCTACACAAGGGATGATCGTACAAAAATAACTGACATGTGAAAAAATGAATCAGGAACAGTAAAGCGATGTCACTAAGATAACCATTACTTTTAAAGAAACCGATCAGAAATTGGGCAAGCATCAAATAAAACAAAGAACTGCAGATGTTGGAAATTTGAAACAAAAATAGAGATTGCTGGAGAAACCCAGCAGGTCTGGCAGCTTCTGCAAAGAGAAAAACAGAGTTAACATTTCGAGTCCAGTAATACTTCTTCAGAACTTGGGCATACATGATCTAACCAATCCCAAGATTGGCCACGAACTTTCTGTGCTCTGTGCATGTGTTACCCTGCCTATTAAAAATATAATCATGCAATGCCTGGACCAAATCAGGGTTCACAGACATCTCTGATCATGCTGTGGGAAAGGGTAATAAGGCTTGCTTTTCAGTAGTTGTGTGTGCAAAAAGAGAAAGAAGAGGGAAAAGAGAAGAAGAGATAGTATCAAAGCCAATTTAGGATTGGTATTCTATTGTAGAGTGACTGTGTCAACTGTCTGTTTAGGAGCCATTTCTGTTATACTTGTTTTGATAACTTAACAAACTGAGTATCAGTGAGCAGATTATTGCTCAGTATAAATAATAAAATATCTAAACAAGGGATCAATCTTAGTTCAAATAAGGATATAAGAGAGCAAGCTAGGAGCAACACTAGGCATGCTTAAACCTGGCAAAGTTACAACACAACATGTGCTAAACTACAACTTACATAATGGACAGACCACTAAACTAATACTCTGCTCAAATTCCATGAAAGCAACGGGTAGAATTGAAGTTCCATTAATATATAGGAAAATAGAAGCTAGTGTCAACGATGGTGACCATGAACCTACCATCAATTGTTATTAAAAAAAAAATCACAGAATTCTTATGGTGCAGAAGGAAACCATTTGGCACCACCTTTCTGGGCATTTTAACTCACTGCCAATCCTTGCCTTTTCTCACAGTCCTGTTCATCATTTTTATTTATATAATCATCAACGTCCTCTTGAATGCCTTCATTGAACCTGCCTCCCACCACATTTCCAGATTGTGCATTCCATATCCTAACTACTTACTAAGTTTTATTGTTCACCTCAGACGTGTTTATTTTGTAAAATATTAAAAACCATATGCCCAGTTATTGATCTGTTTATGAGTGGCAATAGTTTCTCACTTTCTACTCTGTCCAAACCCCTCATGATTTTGAAAACTTCTACCAAATCTCCTCTTAGCCTTCTCCTCTCCATGGAAAACAGACTCATTTTCTCCAATCTCTCCCTATAACTCAAATGTCTTATCCCTAGAACCATACTCATAAAACTCTTCTGTGCTTTCTCAGACGAGCTTAGAACTGAATACTATGGTTCAAGGCCTGGCTAGTGTCTTATATAAATTCTCTGCTCTTGTACTCTATGATTCGATTTACAAAGCTTAGAATACTATGTGCTTTATTAAGTGCTCTCTCTACCTGTCCTGCCACCTTTAATGATTTATGCACACATACACCAAGGTCAATCTGTTCCTGCACACTCTTTAGAATAATATCCTTTGTTTTATAAAGACATTATATACATAAGCTCCATGTTTTTTATACCAAACTGCATCACCTCACGCTGGTCCACATTGAACTTTATCTGTCAGTCCACCAACATGTTTAGAGTTGTCTATTTGGTATTCTATACTGTCTTTCTCACAGTTTACAATTCTCCCCAGTTTTGAGTTATCCACAAACTATGTAAATGTCCCTAAATACCAAGATCTAGAGCACTTTCAGACATCGAGAGAGAAAAGCAAGGTTACCGGTACCGAACCCTGGCAAACTCCATTATAAATCTTCTACAGCCCCAAAAATACCTATTAACCATTACTGTCTGAACCCAGCCAATTCTGTACAAACATTTTTACTGTCCTTTTTGTTCCATGACCTAGAACTTTCTTTACAAATCTATTGTGTGGCACTGTATCTAACGCGTTTTGAAACGTCCACGTACACTACACCAACAGCCTTCCCCTCATCAAACCTTTTTGTTACTTCTTCAAAAACCTTTAGCAAGTCAATCAGACATGATTTTCCTGGAGTCTCCTGAATCAAACCACATTTGTCCATGTGACTATTAATTAGATCCCAAATAATTATTTCAAGAGGGTTCCAAAATTCTTTCTAAAAACCAAGTTAAACCAACCAGTCTGTAACTATTAGGTCAATGTTTACAACTTACTTTGAACAAGGGCAGAATGTCTGCAATTCTCCTATCTTCTGGCAGCACACTTGAGTCATAAAAAAGATTGAAATAAAATTGCCAGTACCTTAAAATTGCTCAGTGTCCTTTTTCACAGACTGATGTTACAATAATGATTGGTCCATGTTGGTAAAAT